GCCTTCTAGCAAGGGTACAATGGTCACAATTAACATTCAGTTAACAGAAGTGGTAAGCTGCTAAGAAGTGATATCTTTTGCTGGTACATATCTAAACAAGAATCTTTTGATGGTATGAATCCAATTTTTCCTAAACTCTATGTCTGCAATGTATTGTCAAAGTCTTGAAGCAAATAAAAAGATGCTACTGTAGTTCTGATATGTCACCACAATAACTACAGTCAATCCTCCGGCTTTATCATTATCATATAACATGATGATGATGAAGGCTACTTGTTGACCTTATCAGCCGGCTTATCAGTTAGTATTTTAACAAAACAGCTTCAGCCGGTTCATTAGCCGACTTTAATACAGCCGAACATGCCAAGCTGTTTTGCTCAAAGACAGACACCCCCACGGCCCCACATGCGGCGTTTGACAGCCAGCCCTATGCCCCTATGGACTCTCTTGCTCAACTTGAGTACTTGACCCCCGCTTGGCTTGGGCAAGCTGAATAGTTCCACCTCAACTACCGCTCGGCCGCTCACTCGTGTGCGTGCTACCATTATCTCTCAAATCACTTCAGCGTTCATAATTGCTGATGCAAGGGGCAACGGGCAACGGCGCCTAGCCATAAGGAATCCATCGCAGGTGCCCGGAGCGGACCGCGGAGGTTTGTTACTGATCGGAGCCGGAGCCGCGGTGCGGAGGCCAACCTGTTCGTTTGGCTGTTGCTTGTCGTAAACGTTCGTAAATTTTCAGTCAAAACAGTATTTTTCTCTCACACAAATCAGTTAGCGGTACTTCTTCACGAACCAGCAACGAAACGAATCAGCCAACCGAACAGGCTTACCACGTCGCTCCGAACCGCCCGCCCACCCTGCAACCGCAGCTTCGCCCACTCATTCACGGGCGGCTTCCATACATATACATCCTTCACCGGAAGCAGCTCTCCTCGTGGACTAGACACACAGCCCAGTCATGTCTACTGCAGCCTGTGAGCCCACGCAGCTCGGGACGATGCTCACGTTTGCGGCACGGGTGCTCCCATCGCCGGAGCCGGAGGTCGGTCGTGGCGCTACCGAGCCCAAAGGCGGCGCGATGCGTGCGCGCGCGGTGTGGCAGCGTGCGGGCTCCATGTGCGCCGTGCCGCCCGTCGGCGCGCCGAGTCTACTATTTCCCACGAGGCCACGCCGAGCAAGTAGCGGCGGGCGCCGCCGTGGACTGCGCGTGCCACGCGGCGCGCGTCCCTGTTTCCGTGGCGCGCAGCGTCGCGCGTGCCGTCGGTGATGGCGAGCCCGACACCGACGACATGTACACCAAGACACGCCTCCTCCGCTCCACCTCGGGAGCGATGGCGGGACGGACGGGCGACGCCCGCCGAGGAGAGCGAGGAGGGATGGGGACGGCAGCAGAAGAACGGCCCAGCCGCCGTCTTTTCGCCAAGACGCCGACGCAGATCCGATGTCAACACCGGCGGCGGCTTCTGCGTGGCGGTGTGCGGCGACCGTCCATCTTCCCGAGCTGGACTACAGCCGACCGCCCGCAGATCATCTCCGCCATGGACGCCCACGGCGCCGAGTGGACGTTCCGCCACATCTACCGGGGCAGCCCGCACCGCACCGCCACCACCGGCTCGAGCAACCGTCGCCCACAAACAAGGAGCTCTCGCTGGCGACTCCGTCGTCTTTGTGCGCGAAGAGGACGGCAAGGTCCACGTAGGCCTGCGGCGCGCCAAGAGCGTGTTCTGCGATGCGGCGATGGCAATGCGGGCAGCACGGGCGCCGTCGTCGCGTGTCCATCGGGCGGCAAGGTCCCAGCAGAGGATGTGGTCGAGGCGGCGAGGCTGGCCGCCGCTGGGCAGCCATTCGAGGTGGTGCACTACCCGCGTGCGAAGCGCCGCGAGTTCTGCGCGCGCGACGGACGACGCCGTCAAGGAGTCCATGCGGGGCCCCTGGTGCCTCGGCCTACGGTTCAAGATGGCGTTCGAGGCGGAGGACCTGTCGTGGATCAGCTGGTTCATGGGCACCATCGCCCGTGTCGAGCCGGCCGATCCCGAACGGTGGCCGCAGTCGCCCTAGCGTCTCCTTCAGGTACGCGTAAATAAACGAACGCACACGCCATCATTCCCTCCATTCGTTCTTCCTCTGAACCGTTTAGTGAATCGTGGTTGTTGCTTCTCCAATTTCATAGGTGACCTGGGACGAGCCTGAGCTCCTGCAGAACGTGAACCGCGTGTGCCCGTGGTGGGTCCAGCTGGTGTCGAGCATGCCCAACCTGCCCCGCTTCTCGCCGCCGCCGCGCAAGAAGCCGCGCACCCCGGTGTACACGGAGACTCTCTCGGAGCGCCAGCAACTTTTTGACCCTGCCTTCCCGTTCCCGCCCACACACCCACTCCCGCAATTCGCTCCATTCTTTTCGGATCTCCACCTCAGCGAGGACTTGCAGCAAAGCCTGCTGTTCTGTGGCATCCGCCCCGCCGATCACCAAGCCCCTCCCGTGCCAAGGATCGCGACCGACTTGAAGATCGGTAGCCCAACGCCCCGCTCTCCATCACCTGAGGCCAAGAAAGGCGACGACGTCAAGCCACCGGGGAATATAAGCAATCTAGATTCTCTGACTTTGTGAACAAAAAAGTCACAGGTGACTTTAGGCATGTCCGATGCCATCCATACATGAATCAACGGCTGGTGTCCACTGCTCTCTCCCCTTGCCAGCCTGCTCAGCCGGTCAGCCCACACGTATAACACAGCCCAAGTAAGAGGCCCATTTCCTGGTTAAGAGACGCCGACGGCTCAGAGGCTGCTTTTGGCGCGGAAATTTCATGGTTGCCGCTGCCACCGCCGCCGCTAGGTCATGCTCGCACCAGCCACAGTCGTCGCGCCTGGCCGCAGTAGTCGCGCCCGCCGCAGTCGTCGCGCCTGGTTGTGCTCGCGCTCGCGTCTCTTCCACTCGCCGCGCCGGTTGTGCCGGAGTCGTCGTCGTCCGAAGTTGTCTTGCGAAGGCGGCGCAGGCTCATGCCATGACTGAGCATGGTGTTGTGGTTGGCGGAGGGTGACTGACGCACTTACCGTTGAGTTGCTTTGATACTGCTTCTCCATGGGTAGCAAAAAAATCTTCCCTATCTCACTATTATTTGTTCATAAGTCTGAAAATTCACTCGTACACGTTCATTGTTTGTGCAGTGTTCTTTGAGCCCTTAACTTTTACTTAAAATCCAATGGCGCAACCCGACAAGTAAGATATGCTTACATTCGATCCCCTTTTTTTACTTCTAGATGTGCAGCAATAATAAGCATGCATTTATTTTCATACGGAGAGAATGCAACTCTAATTTGGGTACCTTATATTGGTCAGAAATTTAGAAACTTGGAAGATGCTTGGTCATTTTGGGTAGATTATGGGGGTCATGCAGGTTTTGAGGTCAGAAAATGGTACACAAATGAAAGTAAATGTGATAAAAGGGTAACTTCATGTAGATGTGTGCGCCAAGGAGGGTTGTCGAGCACAAGACAGGAGAGATCATGTCACAAAAAATCCTCGAGCTGAAACAAGAACATGTTGCCCAGTTCGTATGGGTATTACATTAGATCGAGTGACAGGGAATTATGAAGTGCTTGATCTGATTGTTCAACACAATCATGGCCCCGTTCGCTTCGCTGAAAAAACAAGCTAAATCACTGTTCCGGCTGATTTGTTGTGAGAGAAAAAATACTGTTCCGGCTGAAAAGACGAGCCAAAAAGTACGGATTATAAGACAAGCGAACAGAGCCCATGTGCTTCACTTGCCACAAACCTCTCAATATTTCTCTTCTCTTTTCTAACTATTCATTTGCCTTTGCAGGGTCGTACTGAATTCTCTGACCCGGCCGTTCAAGATCTTTTTTTAGATCTTTGATTTAGTAGCTGCTATCACATATGGAACATTTCCATCTTTTGGGATGACTGTTGAGCACCTGTGTGCTAATGGATTGCTTGTTTGGAGATTATTTTGGTTCCTTTAGCCTCGATAGTTCTCTCACTTCTCTGGCTAACTGTACACAATTATATGCTGTAGTGGTGACTATTGATGGAAGTTATTTATTAGCATGGAACTGTTAAAAATATTCAAGTGAATCCTATTTTAGTTCTGCACTAAAATGACTGCATACTGAAACTCTGTAAACTGCATGTCTCCCCTGTCCATGAAGTGGGCTTTACTTGGGCTGGTTTCACGTTTGGGCTGGACAAGCCTGCAGTGAGAGAACTGAGATGGGCAGCCACCGTTGGATTCTAAATGAATGGCATCCAGCAGCAAGAAAGTCACCTGTGACTTTTGTTCACAAAGTCAGAGAATCTGGAATGGAATACAAGAGCACGACCAACGCAAGCATAAGTCGGTTGTAGTCCCAATAAAAAGTAGTACTCAAGTAAGCTCTAGCATTTTAAGGTGGTGTTTGGATTCGATGACTAAAATTTAGGAGATATGTCGGAAGAATGTTGCATAGGGTGTTCGAATACTAATAAAAAAACAAATTACATAATCCGTCAGTATTCCATGAGACGAAATTTTTAAGTCTAATTAATCCGTTATTAACACATGTTTATTGTAACACCACATTGTCAAATCATGGACTAATTAGGCTTAAAAGATTCGTCTCGTAAATTAGTCGCAAACTATACAATTAATTTCGTAATTAGTCTATATTTAATACTCCATGCATGTGTCAAACATTCGATAAGACAGCGACTAAAATTTAGAAGGGGCAACAAAACACCACCACCACATTCATTATTCTGCTGTGACCTCATCTCTCTGCCTTTCCTCAGCCACTTCCATCTCTTTTTCTCTCTCACGGGACAGCCAAGGTTTGCTTTTAGAAACGGGGCTACCGCAGCCTCTGCAGGCGATTCTGACAACCTGCAAGCATACAACAAAGTCGACGTGGACAAATGCATCAGGCGGGTAGACTTGAAGCAGCATGACACGTAGGAGCGTTGGGCATGGCCTCTTCGGACGGGGGATACGGACCGAGGAGCAGATGAAAAGCAGCAACGGCTCTGGTGTCCCGACCTCGCCGCGAGCCACCAGCAGCGGCGACGAGAAAGCGTCCAACACATCTGATCGCTCTCGCTCCGACGTCTCCCATGGAAGTCCCGCCAAGAAGAATTCGCCCTCCTCCTGGAGATTGTGGTGGTCTGGAGACAGTTCACCGTCTGAGTTTGCGCTGGAGCCCGGGCAGTGCAAGGTGTTTGTGGAGTCGGACACTCTCGGCAGGAACCTTGACCTCTCGGCGCTGGGCTCATTCGAGGAGCTCTGCGCGCGCCTGTCCAGCATGTTCGGCATCAGCAACAACGCTGATCTGAGGAGCCACATGGTCTACCGCACCATCGCCGGCGAGGTGAAGCACGTCGGCGACGAGCCTTTCAGGTGAGCACATCAGCGACTTCATTGCACTTCCTTGATTATACAATTCCAAACCGTACTACAACTCCTTTCGATGACTAACAAACTGAAAAAAAAAGGTTGCCGTTTTCTCACTTTTCTTCACTTGTTTGCAGTATGTTCGTGAAATCCGCGCGGAGGATCACCATACTGACCGACGCTGGCAGCGACAACACTAGCAACCGATGAACGACCAATCGAGATCCGGCTGCAATAACTTCGGGCGCTATACTCCTAGGATGCAATAAGCCGGATGCACAGCTGAGGTTGCTGCCGCATGCATTCGGTTTCCTTCTTAGATCAGTCCTAGAGAGTTTACAGCTTAGAGTAAGGGTAGTCATAGTGAGCCACATCGGCTAGTGTTTATAACATTAAATAGGAGTGCCACCTAGGATTTTTATTGACGTGGCACCATAATTATGTGAGAAGAAAATCAAATGAAATTGGGTCTTGCATGGGACCTACTTCTTCCTCCTAAAAAGACTTACGTTTTAGGATTTTTAGGATAGAGGGATGTGAAATAACCATGAATGCCCCCTATCAATTGGGATTGTTCTAGGTTTGAAGGACCGCATAGGCTAGCAGATGGAGACGAGAGGGATTTAGAATCACAAGTTTTATGAGACAAAGATTGAATTCTACAATGTCAAATTTTTTAGGAGGGAGATAGTTGTTTCTAGCATAAAAATTAAGGCATAACAAAAGTAAAAGTATTTTTTATTTTCTTATAATAGTTTAGAAACTATGCATTGGAAAACATCATAGTTTTTAGTATTGGGACTACCCTACCAAATAAAAAGGTTGACCGTATGGTACTCATAAAATAAAAGTGGATTCTTATCTTCACATCCATTACTCATAAATAGCATAGCTGTTTTGCTTGCGAATTGACGGTAGTTACTGAAAACTGAATGAGAATATTTTGAGAATCTAAACATACGTAGCCTTCATTAGATCCACTGCCAGCCGAGATAACACATTCAGCAAATGCAACGTGCATATACACCTTATAAGAATAGTAGATTCAGTGCCTAACAGCTCATGACTCTTGTCTACCCCGCCCACCCCAGAATATGTTCCTACAGTTAAACATATATTAAAGGATATGTTGGCCACAAGGCATAAACAGGCCATGTAATTCTTTTGCGTTTCATAACAACCTAGCGATCAAACTTGATAAAGCGCTCCATGCTTCCCATGGATGAACCTCGTATCGAGGTTCTCTTATCAATGATTATGGAAAAAGTGGGTAGCTTTCGGACATGCTTCAATGCTGCCTCTGCAATACGCCGTGTTCTGGAATCTCCATGTTGGAAAGCATGAACAAGTGCAGATCCCAGACTGTGATCGGTTGAAGCAGCTTGGGCGATATCCTCTGCCCGCAGAATCCTCTCCACAGCCCACGTCACCCTGTGCTGAAGACTGCCTGTCGGATTTTCCTTCAAGATGTCAAACATAGGTGCAACTCCATTAGACCTATGGAGCACCGAAACGCCTTCTGCAGTCTCCACTCCATCTTCAAGCAGGGTGCAAAGAGCAGCCAGAGCAGCTTCGACCACCTTCTTGTTAGAATGATTCAAACAATGAACCAGTCGTTCCACGGCTTTCCCTTCTAGGATACAGAAGTTGTCCCTAATCGAACAGACTCCAGAATGAACACGACAAAATTGAATATTTGGTGGTTTCCTCCCAAATAGTGCAAGTTTAGACCTCTGTTCAGTATCATCAAATTTCGGCGTACTAGTCAGATACTTAGATTCTAACGAGAGATTCATTAATGCCTTTGCAGAGATCACTTGTATCTCGTCAAGCCCATTCAGCCGAAGCAAGCTGGTGAATAAGGCAGCAAGGTTGTACTCACGAGCAAGGGAAACACATCGGGGTTCATCTCGCAAGACATATGTTATCCTTGCCAAGACCTTTGCAAGGCCCTCAAGCAGTGCATTGTCATAGATGTCACTTCCAGCATCCCTGCGGTAGATTCTTAAAACCTTACTAACAACTATCTTGAAAGCCCCTTGCTCCATTAGCTCTCTAGTGAGGTGCTTGTCCCTTTTTGGAAGGTTTGCCAGAATCTGAAGTGCAGCATCTTGCTCATCAGCGTTTCCATCATTAAGAAAGGCAACTTTAACTAAGCAGCCAAGTAGTGTTGGACTTGCACGGAAGACTTGGGCTATCTCATGGTCCAGGTGGAATGAAATTTTGTATATCAGCTTTATGGATGCAGTGCGGCTTTCCTGATGATCACTCTCAACAAACTGCACCAAGTTGGTGATAGCACCAGAAGATTTTATAGCTGAGACAATTGATAGTACTGTCCCTGTGGAACTGCTCAGGGTATAAAAAAATTCAAGAAGCTTGCACTGTATTGGAGGTGAGGTATTACTGATCAAAAGAAGTAAGCTGTGAACAATGTCTTCAGACACCAGAGTACGGTCCCCGTCAAGGGGTACTGTCCCAAAGTCAACACCAGATGCAACCAGATTAGCTAGAACTGCAGCTGCAGCCTCTTGCAACCTCGGTGGAAGGAGACTGGTGCGATTGATAGAGAGAACTCGGAAAAGAGGGAGAAGGACATTTTCCTCTATAAGAACCTTGGCACTCTCTGCATTGGCGGATATATGCTCTAACACCTTGAAAGCAACTTCTTTTGCTTCCAAGTTTCCCTTTTCAACAATACCACCAAATAAGGAACCCACCCTTCGGGCAACTAAGATCTTCAAGTCATTAGACAAAACAATCTTTTCTAGAGATGATGCCATAAGCAGCTGCTTTTCTGGAGAACCTGATCAATTTGCAGAAAATATATCATAGCCTGAGAAACCAGTAAAACACTTCCATAGTCAACATCGTAAACTAACAAGTTCACCAATGCTAAAAGATGTGGGAAACTTATAAGTTACTATTACTCCTACGATCATATTCATATATAGATAACTTAAGATAGCATCGCATTGATCAAGTAATAATGTAATATTGATAGGGAAGGAGATGGCACCTTCAATAAGCAGGTTAAGTAGAGGTTCCAGCCTGCCATTTTCAGCCATCTGCACGGCATTATTCTCACACCTGTCCAAATTCCCAAGTGTCCTTTCAGCCTTCTCAGCTATTGTTGGATTGTCAGCTTTGCTTCCAGACACCTTGCCCAGTATAAGTACGGCTCCATTCAATACACTTATCTTTCCACATACTAGCTCCGACTTGGAAAGGTCGCACAATGCAGAGACAGCAAATTCCCTCTCCTGACAATCCTCACAATCGATGAACTTGATGATTGTGCGAATGGTGTCCCCTTCCGACACAGCTTCCTGCAAAGGATGAAGAGACATGCTGTCAATACTACTGTTATCGTCCACCACGTAATTATAAACACACTCAGTTTCGTTGTATCTCCTTTCACCTACCCTGTCTTGATCAGTTTCTCTGGCAAATTCCTGAATAGCTTCCAGCGCTTTGAGACGCACCATAGCGCTGCCGCTTCTCAGCATGCCACCAACCATGGGTATCATCCCCTCGTCACGCACTGTGCGCCTGCCCACCCTCCCTCCGCTCCACCCTCGCACAACGCAGCCTAACGCCCGCACCGCCTCTTTCTCCGTGGCGTCCTTGGTGAGCCACTGGCAGGCTCTGCGGAGCTCATCCCTCTGCTGCCTGTCCGTCCACTCCTCGATGGCGGCCCGCAGCGCCAGGACCGGCCTCAGGTCCGCCCTGTGCACCTCCCGCATCGTGATCGGGCAGCACGGGCCCCTGCCGAGGTCGCGGCACTCAGAGAACCACCGGGCGACGGCCTCCCGCTCGAAGGCATGGCCGGTCTCGATCACCACCGGGTCCCGCATCACCTGCATGGTGATCGGGCAGACGAACGCCGACAGCGCCCCGTCCTCCTCCTCGTGCCCGTCGAGACCGTCTGCAAGGTCGAAAATCAAAGAATCAGAGCCCCCCGCGGGCAATCCGTCGAGCACCGTGAGGGCGTGAAGACGTCATTGCGACCTTTGCATCGACCCGCGAGAGGATGCTGGTTCGTGCGATGGACGGGCTACTTTACCTTCTTGTTGGCGCCACGATCCTTGGCGGTGCCGCTCCATGCCTCGTGGGGCTCGGGGAGGAAGAGGAAGCAGCAGGCGTCAGTGAAGTTGACTGGGCGCGCGCCATTGGGTTTGGTGTAGTTTAAAGAAGAGTTGAAATGGGAATGGTGGTGCTGGTTGGCGGAATGGCGCAGCGCACACGGAAAGGCCGGCGTCTCACGGTCACGGTGGCGATGACGAGCGAGGAGGAGCGGTTGGAAACGTGCGGCGTGCGTGGGCAGCTGCGAGGCGAGGCTGACGGTGGTGGCCCGCGGCCGCGGGAAAGCGGGGGTGGAAACGAGAGGAGACTTTTCCTGTGTGCCATTATAAAAGATCGTAATCCCCTGTGTGCTTTTGGAAAAATTCAGCGGTCTTCAGCGTCACTACTCTAACTTTTTCGGGTCCTCCATGCCACTTCCGTCAATTCAGACTCTAACGCCGTCAAACTACATGTGTGAAAAGACGAAAATACCCTTAAGTTCAAATATGTTATTAATTTTTGTAATCATCTTAACGACTTCAAATAAAAAAACTCAAAACTAAAAAGTTGTAGATCTCGTCGAGATCTATAATTTTCATATAAAAATTATTTTCATTTAATTCCGCAAAAAAAATATGATTTGATATGATTAATATATCTTAGAAAAATCATCATATTTTTTTGTGGAATTAAATGAAAATAAATTTTATATGAAAATTATAGATCTCGACGAGATCTACAACTTTCTAGTTTTGAGTTTTTTTATTTGAAGTCGTTAAGATGCTCCAAAAAAATTAATAACATATTTGAACTGAATGGCATTTTCGCTTTTTTCACTTTCGCAGCTTGATTTGCCAAGTAGAGCCTCGAATGACGGAAGTGGCATGGAGGACCCGAAAAAGTTAGAGTAGCGACACTGAAGACCGCTGAATTTTTTTAGAAGCACATAAAAAATTTACGATCTTTTATAATGGCATACAGGGAAAAGTCTCAAACGAGAGCCTGCGACTGGGCATGGGTGTGGCTGGGGGTGGTGAATCGTTGATGGGAACTGATCCGCTGCCACGTGAGTTGTAACATTTTGTAATCCAGGTTTCGTGCGTGTACCAGGCCAACATTCTTCGTCCCTCTCGCTGTTTAACTGG